GAATCCTGTTATGTCACAGTGGAAAGAATTACAACACACGCAGGTCAAAACACAATTATTCTTTACAGTCAAACTGACAAGACTGCTGACCAAAACTTTGTAGAACAGCCACAGCTCTTTCAAAACAACACGGGCCAAAAGTTATTACTCTATTACCAACACAGTAATGCTCCTAGTGTGTATAACAGGTCCCTTTATGTATAACAAATTTGGGTCGCTGAAGATTAAGGGCAGATCCAGACTTTCTGCTTGCTCCATTGCTAATATGGGCCACTCATTGCTTCTTCAGGCATGAACAGATGATGTCCTTTCCTCCCTTTCCCAACCCAGTGCAAATGCATCCAGGGCCAACTTCAGTTCAAAACTGCTGTTTTCTAAGCTAAACCATCTTAAGCTTTTCAGAACAGATGGTCTTCGGTGCTTCACTCCATTCTAAAAGGAGCCCCAGTTTCAAATGGCTACAATGCCCAGCATCATCTCTTAGTATAGTTTAGTCTTTATTGTCATTGTACATCATATATACAATGTAATTTTTCCTCCATGGCCTGGTCACTGCCCTGGGCTACTATTTCATCTTGAACTACTGAACTGCTATGTTCTCTGCTTGTTGGCATCTGTCATTTTTTAATTACTTTGCAGTGGATCCAACGATGGCCCATTAAGTTGATGAACCTTCCTTGCTGGTGGGTTTTCCTATCCCTTCTAGAAACGTCTTGCATGAAGAACAGTTGCAGGAACTGGGTATGCCTAGTCTAAGGAAAAGAAGGATTAAGGGTGACATGATAGCAATGTTCCAATATCTAAGGGACTGTCACAAAGAAGAAGAGATCAACCTATTCTCCAAAGCACCTGAAGACAGAACAAGAAGCAATGGATGGAAACTAATCAAGGAGAGAACCAACTTAGAAATAAGGAGAAATTTCCTGGCAGTTAGAATAATCAATCATTGGAACAACTTACCTTTAGATGTTGTGGGTGCTCCATCACTACAGGTTTTTAAGAAGAGATTGGACAGTCATTTGTCTTAAATGGCATAGGGTCTCCTGTTTGAGTAGGGGATTGGACTAGAAGACCTCCAAGAAATAGCAATAGCCCTTAGACTAATATATTGCTTCATTGTGCTTATCAACCCTCTTCAACCAGAGGGTTTATACAGAGTCAGCATATTGCCCCAACAATCAGGCTCCTCATTTTACCAACCTCAGAAGAATGGAAGACTGAGTCAACCTTGAGCCATTCAGAAACAAACTCCTGGAGTGAGCAGTGAATTAGCCTGCATTACTACATTCTAACCACTGTGCCACCACGGCTCAGTTGGAAGGTTGTCCCTTCCAACTCTTTTATTCTTATTATTCTCTCTCAGGATGTATCCTTTTTGTTTCTGGCAGGCTGGATGAAGCATGTTCTTTTTTTATTTTTCTACTCATTGTCCAGTTTTGGAAACCTTCCTTCCTCCCCCACCTTTTTTTCCTTTTTCAGAATCCTCAAGTAAATAAAACCCCAAAGTTTCAGTTGATGCTGCTTTGCTTCAGCTATGAAACTAAATCATCAGTTCTTCCATCCTACAAAGTTTTTTTTATAGGTCTACAGTGGAACATAGGAATGAAAGAAAACTTTTAACTCTTTATCACTGCAACACGGCAATAGTAATACAATAACTGGGGGGGGGGGAGAACCCAAAATAAAACAATAAAAGAAGAGTCTATGCTGTATCACAGAGTAGAGAATATGGAAAGCGGGTATAAAGGTACAAACATCTGAGAAGCAAAGGAAAGGTATGGGGGCTAATTAAGAAGGGACAATCTCTAAAAGGCAAAATCAGGGATTGGCAGGCCCACCCACATAGGAGACAGCCAGCAAGTCTTGCTTTTCCTGGGTGGATGGGAGGGACAAGAATAAGAGGATGACAGAGAGCAAGAGAGACAAACTACTTAGTGAGCGTGCGCTCACATTTGCGAACCGGTAGCGAAGATAAGTCAATACCACCTCAGGTTCTGGTTCATTGCAGAACCCCACTGCTCCAGCTACAAAATTTAAATATCTTATTTAATATCTTATTTAAAAATATCTGTTTACTATTACAATTTCTAACTCAAAAGTAGAATATGGGCAGACATAGAAGATTCATGGCAGAACCTTAATTTAACTAAATGTTTATGGAGATTCTCAGTCATCTGGGTCATGGTTGTCCCAAAGATTATTTTTCTTTCTTTTTTTTAAAATTATTTTTATTATAAATTAAAAACAGAAAACAGAAAAAAGACTATAACAAGACAAAATCACATACATACAACTGAGGTTGATTCAACCCCTGTGGAAATTGGGATCGTAGAAACACCCAGGAGCATAGAAGAGTCCAAAGGCAGATGCACGAACAAATGTGATAAATGTATTTATTCACATAACAAAACATATTAACTATATACAAAGGCTGTCTTAATATCCATTAGGATAGGGGGCACACAGCGTGTGTGACTACCCTTATCAAAGATCATGTCTCATGGAGAACAAACATAAAAGAGAACATGGTGGAAAGGTTAGAGGGGGTTTTATACTCAGTGTAAGCCCCTCCTCTCCACATAGGGGTGGGGGCACTTTCTGCCTCCACTAGTGTCTGTATGATACATGTGCCAATGGCTTGCAAATACTTGACAACCCCCATATATATACAGTTTCTAAATAATATTACATATCATCATACTACAGATTCGATTAGGTTTATCATATTGCATCTTGCTTGTTGTTAATCTTCTTATATCTAATATTACCTTATTTATATTTAGTTTGCTATTTACATATCTATGCCACATGCTTTCCTAACATCTATCTCATGACATTTTTACTTCTATCCATATGTGCAACTTTGTAAAGGGGAAGCAGTACCATTGGATCAGATGATTATTAACAAAATTTTGTAGTGTGCAGAATATGATAGATTAACATATATTCTTAAAGCTAGACAAGAATCAACTTTCAATCAAAGCTGGGATAAATGGTACCAAAGATTATTTTTCAAGAAGCAACTGGCCTTTTTTGTTTTTCTTTGAAGATGTTTCGCTCCTCATCTAAGAAGCCTCTTCAACTCTTCTTCAGCAGAAGAAGCTTCTTGGATGAGAAGCGAAACGGCTTCAAAGAAAAACAAGAAAGCCCAGTGGCCTCTTGAAAAAGCACCTTTGGGACTTAATTCTTTTTTTTTTAATTGAAAAAGTTTTAAAACAAACACAATTTCCCCACAACCCTCCCTCCCAACCCCCCTCCCCCTCCCCGACTTCCCAGAGCAGAACACAAGGTATTTATATTGACCTTTAACAATAAACTAAATTGCATAACCAATCATTAAACTAACACCCCCTAAAAAAAATTCTTAACCCCCCATATATAAAATCCTATTTCTTAAACATAATACTTCTAATATCACTTATATAGCGCTTATACAAATAAAAAAGATCATTCATAAGCTATTTGATATTTTTTGGTCTGATACTTATTTTGTATATAATCAATCCATCTTCTCCAGTCCTGTATATACCTTTCTTGTGTGTGATCCTTCAGATATGCTGAAATTTTAGCCATTTCAGCTAAATTAGTTACTTTCAATATCCAATCATCAATAGTAGGCAAAAAATCCTTCTTCCAGTGTTGTGCTACCAACAATCTTGCTGCTGTTATCAAGTTCAAAATCAATTTAGTCTCTGCAACTGTACAATCCGTAGTTATACCCAGTAAGAACAACTGTGGAGTAAATTTCAGTCTCTTTTTAAGAATATTCTGCATCACCCACCAAATCTTTATCCAAAATGCTTTGATTTTTCTACAAGTCCACCATATATGATAATAAGTTGCATCATCACAGTCACATCTCCAACATTTAGCTTGCACATTAGGATACATACATGATAATTTTTTGGGACTTTGGGACTTAATTCAACTACTGCACCTTCCACTATCCATCCAGAATACAGCATTTCATTTATATAAATACCTGGGCATTTTGCCTAATGTGACCCTGGATATGTTTTTTTTCTTAAATGACATGCATGTAATTAATATCTAGAAAGTAATTAATTAACATTGATAGAATAATTAAGTTCAATCGCTTGCAGTCTTTCATCTTTGTTCTTGCAAACCCACTGTTAGAATTGTAACTGATCACAGACTGAATACAGATCTGCAGTGTGATATGACTACAAATGAGGCAGATACAATTTTAGACTGCATCAAGAGAGTTTCCAAATCGCAGGGACATTTATTTCCTGTCTATTGTGCATTGGCTAGACCCCATTGCAAAGACTGTGTTGAGACAATAATTTTCAAAAGATTCAAACAACTGAATAGGCTAAAAGTAGAGCAATGAGGATGATTGTCTGGAAATTAACTTCTGTGAAAAAAAGATAAGTTCTGAATATGTAGTCCTGAAAAGAGAAGAATGATGGGAATATAATTGCTCTCTTCAACTAAGTACAGTGATTTCACACAGAAGGAAGTCAGGATTTATTTTGTATTATCCCAGATTGGACGCAAAGGAACAGTGGCTTTAAATTTAGTTCTCTTTCTCTTATGTCATTATGCAACGTTACCCTTGTAAACAAATGTATTCATTTATTTTTGCGATATAAAAACAAAGCACCACAACATACTGTGGTTGCAAAAGAAAAAGTGATGACTTCCTTAACTTTTTATTTCTTTCTACAGATATTATTAGTCATTGATGAAATGTTTCTTTTCTTAAAAACAGACCTCAGTTTTTAAATTTTCAAGTTAAACTTGACCTGTATGTAATGTATATATATATATTTCCATGGAAATAATTAGAATAAACAATTATTAAGACAAACTTTTTGTGTAACAGTTTATAGGGAAATGGCTATTATTAACTAGCTAGACTTATTCTTGGAACTATCAATTAAAATATTCTAAAAATTAGTTTTGGTGTATTGGTTGAAGCACCATTTTTCATATTATGAAAAAGAATGCTCAGACAAGAATTTTTTTTTTTGTAGACATTCAAAAATAACAAAAGCTTCAGATAAGACCATGTTATGTCAGATGGGAGGAAGAATGTGAGTGCATAAAGAATTTCTGATAAAGGCAGCAAGATATTTAAAAGAACAATGAATGACTCATTCCAGTTTTCATTTCTAATGTGAATTTCAGTGCAAATAATTAATGAAATGTCTTGTTTATACTAGACTGACAATGTGAAGTTGTCCAGGTTGTTCAGTTGGGCACTTTTGTCAAAAAGAGGGGCATGCAATTTTTTCTTGATTGAGGGCCCTATGTGGTCTTTGAGTGATGTGGTATACAAACAAAGGCTGCATTCCAAGAAGCGGTGGGAGAGGCCACAACAAAAATCAAATTTGTCATCATTTGCATTTAAGTTTGATTAAAATTAATTATAATTAGTCTAATTGTTCTCCTGTCCTTATTCATCATTTTCACCTCTCATTAAAATTACAGCTTGGTAACTATCCAGAGATCTTGGGATTAATTTCATACAGGAAGACAGATTCTGTTGAATGTTAGGAAGAACTTCTTTAATGATAAAAACAAGTGGTAGAACAAATTTCCTAGAGATGGTAGGCTGCCCTTCATTGGATGTGTTTAAGCAGAAGAAGGATTCTTGTCTGAAAGAATTCCTGCACTGATTTGGCAATTCAACACAGGGACCTAAATGGCTCCTTCCTGTCACACCAAACCCAAGGTATGACACAGTGAAATCCAATAGAGTTTAATCCTTTATTTGCTTACACCTAATGGACAGAATCTTGCCAGACTAAAGCCACTGCAAGGTAGCGCAGTGATTAGGGTGCAGTACTGCAGCTACTTCAGCTGACTACTAGTTCAGAAGATCAGCGGATCAAATCTCACTGGCTCAAGGTTGACTCAGCCTTCCATCCTTCCAAGGAGGGTAAAATGAGGACCCAGATTGTTGGGAGCAATATGCTATTTAGTATACTGTCTTTGGTGTAAGCCGCCCAGAGTCCTCAGAGAGTGGGCGGTATAGAAATATGAATAATAAAATAAAATAAAAAATAACTTTCTAATCAAATAGGTGTACCCTGAGAGATTTCAGAGTGCAAGAACTCTGAAGCTCTTTCCCCTCCCCCATTTACAACACTCTTTGGGTGGTTTACAATGTCAGCATATTGCCCCCAACAATCTGGATTCTCATTTTTCTGACCTCGAAAGGCTGAAAGGCTGAGTTAACCTTGAGCTCCATCAGAATTGAACTCCAAGCCATGGGCAGAGTTTGCCTGCAATATTGTATTCTAACCACTGCACCATGAGGGCGCTTTGCAGTCTCTTAATTTGGGATTGATTCTCTCTATTATTTCGTCCCTGAGGAACCACGATGCTGACAAGACTCCCCTCCACTGTGTCTCCAGGTATACATTCCATTTTCATCTAATATAATTCAACAATTCTGTGTTTTTGTGATTTCCAATGAGGTCAAGTTCTTGTATCACCCTTTGTGGAAACAAATAAATTGTGGGAGATGGGGGAAAGAACTGAAATGTTTGGGTTCCTTTTAGTTGGTGATTTCATTAAATATGACTGCTCAGTGTCAGCCTTCCACAATCTACTACTTCTAAAATATGTTGTATAACAGTCCCATTTTCCCCATTCAACACTGGGAAAGGTTGTCCTACATTATTATTTGTTGCTATTAATACTTTGCTGAGCACTTTTTCCCCCTTTCATGAAAATATAGGCACCCTCCAGTCCAATATTGTTATTTTATCCTTCAGTATAAATAAGACTGTTGCACAATAATGATGCTTCAGGAACTATCTAAGGATTTATAAAATGTGGTTGGAAAGTACTTCTAATGGTTTCTTGAAGGTCAAATCAAACTATGGGGGAAAACTCTGAAAAGACATCTAGTGAAGGTCACATATTTACTTTACTTTTACTTACTTTACTTTTATTTGATTTGTATACCGCCCTACTCCCGAAGGACTCAGGGCAGCGAACAGCCAACAATAAAATACATACATACAAAATTTAAAAAGCAGAAATAAAATCGAATTAAATAGTTTGGCCCAGACAGATTAAAACCCCAGTCAATTTAAAACAGATTTAAATTTTGAGGATTAAAAATATTAAACATATTAAAATATTAAAATTATTTAAAAAGAGACAGAAAGTTAGGCCAGGCCCGCCTGGTGAAATAAAAAAGTCTTTAGAGCGTGGCGGAAGGTGCGCAGATCCGGGATCCTCCGTATCTCCGGGGGGAGCTCGTTCCAGATAGTAGGTGCCCCCACAGAGAAGGCTCTCCCCCTGGGGGCTGCCAGTCGACATTGTTTGGCCGACGGCACCTGGAGGAGCCCCTCTCTATGAGAGCGTACTGGCCGGTGGGAGGCTATTGGTGGTAGTAGGCGGTCCTAAGTATTTAAGTATCCTTAAAATACTTGATCTATGCCACTACCTTTTGTTATTTTAACGAAAAGAGATTTGAAGATTATCAATGCTATTGAAATTACAAGAGGGAGATATTGTATTAATTGACAGTGCAGCCATACAAAAATAATTTCAGCAATATTGTTTAATTTGTATAAAGGAAGTGACATCTCTCTAGAGAAAATTCTGCGTTTAGAAAATTTAGAACTACACCCCCTTCGGTATGACCTAAGCATAGTTCATAAAATCATATGCTACAATGTCCTACCTGTCAAGGACTACTTCAGCTTCAACCACAACAATACACGAGCACACAATAGATACAAACTTAAAGTGAACCACTCCAAACTCGATTTAGAAAATACGACTTCAGTAACAGAGTGGTCAATGCCTGGAATGCACTACCAGACTCTATGGTCTCATCCCCAAACCCCCAAAACTTTAACCTAAGACTGTCTACTGTTGACCTCACCCCATTCCTAAGAGGTCTGTAAGGAGCGAGCATAAGAGCCCCAGCATGCCTACCGTCCCTGTCCTAATGTTCCCTTTAATTGTATTCATTTTATATATTCAATTCATGCTTATCCTTATATATATTATCTAATATGTACTCGACAAAATAAATAAATAATAAATAAAATGAATATCTAAAGAAACAAAATTTACCAAGGATTTATTTCATTGACCGAGACAAAGGATCTATAGCAATAGGAGAAATTTCTGAAGTTATAAAAATATTATAAGGAAACATGGATGGATTATCAGGTTTTTATTATAAATGTTTTGAGGATAAACTTTTACAATCTTTACAAAATACAATTAATTTCACAGGGAGGAAAGATTTCAGAGAGATGGAAAGAGGCCAATATAGCATTAATACCCAATTGGGGGGGGGGAGAGATTTAATAAGAAACTATAGCCAATATCATTGACTAATAACTACAAGTTGTTCGTATTGATCCCCACCTGGATTATATATTCTGTAATGCACAGAGATCTACATCAGTCATTCAAACTTACTATTTTTTCAGGGGAGCACAGTTTTGCATGTAGTACAAAATGCAATTGTGTTAAATCAATAAGAGACCATGCAAAGCTGAAGGGAAAAAAGGAAGTGAACTATTAGATCCTAGGAAGAAAAAGTTGTAAATGTTATAATAAAAATAACAAAAAAATCAATTATTCATATTCTGAATATTTGCTATTTTTTTCTAGCCCTTCTAAGGATATAATAAAAAGCCACATTAAAAAAGAATGCACTTTAGTAGTAACTGACGATAGTATATGATGAACTACCAATGTTTTTATATAAGGGAAGGAACTTTTGGCATTCATATTTCTATTAACTATATATGACTTTTTAAGTTCTTTCCTGCCCTAACAGGATTCAAAATTTACACAGAGAAAAGTGACCTGATTTAATGTTCATTTAATAATCCTAAAACATAAAATGTAAGGGCTACTCTGAAGATCTAAATTCTTAATTATGTTGAGTGTGATGTAACCACATCTGCATACTGCAAGATTTCTCCTTTTCCCAGTTCCTTACATATAAATAAAAAGGCACATGGGCATTTATTTAATCCTCACAAAATGCAGATTACAAGGTCATGTTGATTAAGCCTGTCTTCTTTGTACACACCATCCATCAATACAACCAATTGGATGGTTGACTGAGGTCTTCAGAATGGTCTCACTGCTCTGATGGAGCTCCAAGAAGATGAACAAATGTGATTATTAAAGGTATTTATTGATTTGTATATTTATTTATTACTAAATGTTCTTTATCCCTTCTTTATTTTGTACAAACCAAGTTTGTGTATACAATGCTCCTGCTCCTATTTTACTCACAACCAAACTTCGTGAAGTGTGTGAGCTGAGAGAGAGTGATAGGCCCGTGGTCACCTCTCTGACTTTTATGGCTAAGGGAGGACTAGAACCAATAATTTATTGGTATCTATGTCTGCTTTGTGGGGACACGGTGGCTCAGTGGATAAGACGCTGAGCTTGTTGATCGAAAGGTCGGCAGTTCAGCGATTTGAATCCCTAGTGCCCCGTGATGGGGTGAGCTCCCGTTACTTGTCCCAGCTTCTGCCAACCTAGCAGTTCGAAAGCTCATAAAAAATGCAAGTAGAAAAATAGGGACCACTTTGGTGGGAAGGTAACAGCGTTCCGTGCGCCTTTGACATTTAGTCATGCCGGCCACATGACCACAGAGACGTCTTCAGACAGCGCTGGCTCTTCGGCTTTGAGCATCACCCCCCTAGAGTCAGGAACGACTAGCACATGTGTGCGAGGGGAACCTTTATCTTATGTCTGCTTTAGGAAAGGTACCGTAATCATACAGATGGACAAAGATAGGAAGCAGAACAGTACAGGTAGTCCTCGACTTACAACATTTACATTTAGTGACTATTCAAAGTTACAACAGCACTGTAAAAAAAAATGGCTTACGATTGTTTTTCACACTTATGACCATTGCAGCATCTCCATGGTCACATGATCGAAATTCAGACACTTGGCAAATGACTCATATTCATGACGGTTGCCATGTCCTAGGGTCCAGGAGTGGGTTCTACTTACCTTTACTACTGGTTTGCATTGGGAGCGTGCGCTCATGCGCGCGCTTCTACACATGCGCAGATCGCCTATGATGACGTCCAGGTTAGTGCGGAGCCTCCCACCAGTTTTACTACCGGTTCTTGCAAACCGGACTGAACCGGGGGCAACCCACCACTGCTGTGTCATGTGATTCTGTTTTGTGATCTTCAGACAAGCAAAGTCAATGGGGAAGCCAGATTCA